AACTACGTTAGAATCTGTCCACTAATTATCATGTTTGTTGACGGATATCAGTTAGGGTAGACAGGCAAATTACCTTCATGGAATTATTTTTTATATTTTCTGTAGTATGTTCTTTTCCTGTAAACTGTTATATTGTTTCTTATTGTGTATTTTGTGTTTTCTGTGATTTTTCGTAGAGATTCAATATCTAAACTTTCATTTTTACAGCAGTCATTGCCCTTCTTTTTTTGTGATACCGTCTAAAGTATTTGTTTATACAAGCACCTAAAATATTTATGAATTTAAGTTTACACAGTGACATATGGACTTCTTATTAATTGTATTTGCTTTCAACTAGAGAATTAGTCTATTTATATTTATATGTGGAAAAGACACAAGTTGGTACATTTCCAAAATTTATTTATATATTAGGAAACTCGTCTATGTACCGTATAGTTTGGCAAGCTCTTACAAACATTCTAATATTCAAGATTAGATACCGTTTAAAATTCAATGCGGCGCTGAGTATTGACTTCTAAGATATACACTCAAAGAAAAAAATGTTACATATTTTGGTAAATGTATCACGAAAGGCGTGAATTAAAAAACATGAATGCACCGATGTAACTGATGATTAGAATTTAAATCATTGCCAGCTGGTTTTTGCATTTTTGGTAAGTTTATCCAACTATAAGCAGCTGCTGTCCATTCAGCGAGATCAATAAACAATTACGATAAATCAGACAAAAGGACCAAAGCTTGGGAGAAGGGAGATAAAGCAACTAAAAAGACTGGAATACATGGAAAACTCAATACCTAATAACAACAGGATTAAAAAAGGATACACATTTATTTATTTATTTACCGTCTGGCGTATTTATACAGGATGCACCGAATCTCTGGCTTTCTTTGATATGGCTAAACTATGGAGTATATAAAAATGTTTCAAACAAAACTGATGTATATCAAAACATCATCATCATCACGTAGCGCTACAACCCTGGGTGGGTCTTGGCTTACTGTACAACTTTTTTCCAATTTATTCGGTCTTCCATCAACCTAGGGTCAAATGGAATGTTCATTTTCCGGAGATCTGCTTGGATGTTATCTCTCCATCGCATTCTGGGATATCGGAGTGGTCTTTTTCCTGTGGGAATCTCCTCCCATACCAGTTTTACAAGTCTTTCGTTATGCAGTCAGTGCACGTGGCCTGCCCATCTTAGTCGCTGTGATTTAATTTCTTGGACAATATCGGCGTCGTTGTTGAGTGCTTTTAATTCGATATTGGTTCTGATCCTATACTGGTTTGTGGTGATGTCATGGTGAGGTCCGAAAATTTTCCTAAGTATTTTTCGTTCAAAGCGTCTGAGCTTTTCTTCATTTGCTTTGGTCATGGTCCACGTTTCGCATCCGTATGTTATTACAGGTCTGACGATGGATTTATAGATTTTGATCTTTGAATTTCTTGTGAGATTTTTTGATTTTATGAGCTTATCCGGTGCAAATAGACAGCAGTTTGCAGATTGGATTCTGTCTTTTATGTCTTCAGTGACATCGTTATCAGCTGTAATTACGACCTCCAGATACTTAAAACGTTGTACTATTTTGAAATTGAAGGTGTTAACCGACACATTTTGTCCTATTCTGTCTATTCGTTTCGTTCTATTTATACACATAAATTTCATCTTCTCTTCATTAATCTTCAGCCCTACTTCACTTGTTGCTCCTTCCACCTTGTTGAAAATGTCTTTCGTGGATAGGATGGAGTCTCCAACGAGATCTATGTCATCTGATGTTATCTGTATATGCAAGTAAGTGCTTGGGACTTTGAACCGATAGCAATTCTGTTTTTATTTCGACCGACCTCATGGCTTTCTCTAATACAAGGTTAAAAAGAAGTGGAGATTATGCATCACCCTGTTTAAGTCCACTGTTGATTTCAAAGCTGCCAGAGAGTTTATTATTTACACGTACTTTAGATATTCCACCCTACATACAAACTTTGGTCATCCGAATGAGTTTCTTTGGTATTGAGAACTCCGCCATGGCATTCCATACTTGGCTTCTTTCTACGCTATCATATGCCTGTCGAAAGTCTATGAAAAGATTGTGTATGGGTCTGTTATACTCCCATCCCTTTTCTAGAAGTTGTATCAGCGTGAATAGGTGATCTATTGTTGATCTGTTTGCCCTAAACCCGGCTTGATATTCGCCTAGGACATTTTCAGCATAAGGGATTAGTCTACTAAGAATGATGTTTGAGGGGGTTTTATATGCCGTGTTTAGAAGTGAGATTCCTCTATAATTCGTTCATTTTGTTTTGTCCCTTTTTTTGTGGATGGGCACTATTATGTTTTCCTTCCATCGCATCGTGCTGGTATTTTTTCTTCTAACCATATATGCGTTATTGGCTGGTGGATTTGGCGATGTAGTGCGTCTACCCCATATTTCAGAAGATCTGCTGGAATCTCGCCCGTACCCGGCACTTTGTGATTTTTCAGCTTATTTAAGGCCTTTTGGGTTTCTTCAAAGGAGGGATTTTTGACGGGCATGTCCGCTGTGATATAGATCTCTTCTTTGTGCTGTTCTCCTGTATGATGTTTAGAAGGTCCCTAAAATACTTTTTCCATTCTTGTTACTTCTTTACCGTCGATTATCATACGGCCTTGATTGTCTCTCAGTGTATGGATGGAATTGGTTCTATGTCCTCTTTTCTCAGAGGAAATTGCTTTATAGAATTCTCTGGAGCCTGGTTTGGGCCGGTCTCTCTCCATAGCTCCATATTTTTGTAGTTCATAGTTTCTTTTCTTTATGCGTATTATTTTTCTTGTTTCTTTTCGGCAGTCGTCATATTCCTTTTTACTTTGGTCTGTTTGCAGTTATATCCAAGTCTTCCTTACTGTTTGTCTTTTTTCCAGCTGTTTCCGACATTCCTCGTCATACCATGCTTTTGCCCTCGTTCTGCTTACTCCTTCCAAATATCTTGTCCGCTGTCTTGGTTATTATTTCGGCAGTCAAATACAAAATTTTCTCATTTTTTTTAAAGGGACTTTAAATTTTTTCAACTGGACATGACAATTGTTTTGGACTAATGCCTTAGAAACTGCCTTTAGAATCTTTAACCGTACCTAATCAGAGATATTCGCGCAGAAGATATCCTACAAAAAAGCCTTCGAAAAACTTTGAAATCACTTTGTTCTTAGGCGCGTTCTTCTAATTCTTTTCCAGAAGGAGTTTTGTATATGGATCTTGCCGGTGATAAGAGATGTAAATCTGAAGTGCAATATATTTTGATCAATTCCTTTACTCAAAGTGTGGATAGGGAGGTGTGGGTTGTTCTGTAGTTTTTGATACTCCCTGACAAGGGCAGATTATTATTACTCAATAGAGGTAGCCAGGTTCTAGGAGTTGATTTTATAGTTCCTCAAATGATTTATAATTGTTTAGTTTAGTCCTACATTCACCTTCTTTATGTGATCGCTATTTAACCACATTTAAGTGTAATGCCCAGGTACTTTGGGTTTTTATTATAGGGTAGCATTTTACCATCAAAGTATATCGTGAGCTTTGAGGTTACTTTATACTTCTATAATACTCTTATAATATCGACAAGGTTGTATAATTTTTTATTTCGTATACCAGCAGCTTCTTTTATTTTTTTGTGTAAATTGAATACATCGTGCTTCTTTCGTAGATCTTCAATTTCAAGACATTTCTCTTCAAACCACGCTTCTTTTGCTGGTCGTATTTTTCTTCTTATTTATTTCTGTATGCTGCAGTATTTTGAGGATTAACTAAGGGACTCGAAATTGAACCTATGTTTTGTTGATGCTTTATAGCTCCAGAGAGACTTCAAAGAAATGGGAATACCAGACTGGAAAGCACAATAAAGGACCAAAAAAACTGGAAAGTACTAACCAAGAATATAGACCTGTAACGTTGTTTATATGTCTAGCCATCGTAGGTGTCCTTGCATTCTCATTATTTCTATATGGAGCAGATACTTGAACTCTTCGCAGACTATTCTGCAATTTGTAGGTCACGTGGTTTGCAGAGGTGACGATAGTTTGTAGAGATTAATTGTTTCTGGAAACGTTCCGGGGAGAAGATCAAGAGGACGATCACCAACGAGAGGGTCATTCTGCGAGGCCCTCAGAGCAGCTGCAGATAAAGACCAATGGAGAAAAATTGTTAGGAATATTGGAAGAAATCACGATCCTCAGTGATCAGAGTGATCTGAGTGTCCAATTGATTTTAGAGTGAAGTGATGTTAGTGATGCGTCCGTGTTTTATCTGTTGTTGCATATCGATACAAGAAACTCCAGTTTCTTTCGCTAAAAATTTAGAAATTGCACGCTGCATATGAGCAAAGTTACACCCACTTTTTCCATAGGTTTGTTATTAAGAAATGTTCAAAATTGTTAATAGAGTGCCTTTCTATATACTTAACTCCTGTGTTATCTCCCATAACGATGTCGTGGACTTTTTTTTGTATTTCCTGGAACAATATCTTTCTACATCATGTCAGCACAGCACCTCATAACCGTGGTTTCCGAATAACGCCAAACAAGCCAATAAAAATTACACGTAAACATTACAAATTGACAAATAAATGCAATGTTTTTATCGTTGAGTGTATACGTATTTTCATCATAATAAAACTTAAAAAGTAGGATGGTCGTTGTTAAGGCTTTTAATTTTTAAGAAATATTAATAGCTGTTTTCGTTTAGTTGCCAATATTTTCCACTATGCCTTTGACAATTATAATTTGCTGCTGTTTTGTCGCAAATTTTATTATCGAGTAACCAGATAATTATTGGCAGATAATCTTATATGTATTAGTTTTGGAAGATTATCGGAAAATCTGAAGTATTTGATAAATGTTTAAGGTCTATTAATAAAATGGTGACACTCAAGAGGAAAAAAACGTTAATTATCGTCATTTTTATTTAGAAAAAAAAAACAAAAGATTATAAAAATAGTTAAATTTCAAGAAACACTTAAAATCATATTATTTTAGCCCACAAAAACGCCCGTATCACGTACGCTAGTACAGGTAGGGCGGTTAAGGTGAAGTCATTTTACTGAGATGAAATTTATTATCTCTCAGTTTTATATATTTTTATGTATAACTTACATAAGAAGTTCTAGACCAGCTTGTGTCGAGGATGAGGAGAACGACAAATGACGCGGATCTAGAAATGGCAGTGAAGGATCTAATTGAGGCTGTCATTTCAGCATTCCAAGAAATATGCCCTCCGCCGAAGGGGAGTTCCACCAGGTATATGCCGTGGTGGAAAACAGAATTGTATGTGTTGAGGAAAAGGACGAGGAAGCTATTCAACAAAGCCAAATTAACAAAGGAGTTAGGAGAATACAGAACCACACCGACGGAATACTATATACCTATAAGAGAAGCCAAGAGAGACACATGAAGGAAGCACTGTGGGAAAATTGAAAGCACTAATGCTTGTTCTAGACTTCAAAAGGTGTTCTCAAAGGAGAAAACGCAATCAATTAGCTTATTCGTAAATGACAAGGGTGAGGATACCAATACAGGAAGATACACGGCTGAAGAGCTTTTCACATTGTTCTTCCCTGGATTACAAATAGTTGAATCAGCAATTGACAAACAGTCAAAATGATTGTACACTAAACATAGGCAATAAACTCATACGAGCCATATAAATCACCAGGAATGGATGGTATATATACATTTTGAATTATTACAAAAGGGACCAGAACTTTTGTACAGCAGAGTAGGCAATGTACAAAATACATCAAGAGCAACATGCCTATAAATTCAACTGAGACAGCACTCCATAGACTCGTATAAAAAGTGGAAAACACAATTGAAAATAAAGAGGTGATGCTAGGAGCCTTTTTGGATATAGAGGGGGCTTTCGACAACACTTCGATAACATCCATATCCAATGCCCTGAAACGCAAAAGATTTGAGGACATATCTTTAAACTGGATAGAATCTATGTTCAGAAATAGAGTGGTAAATACCACTCACTATTCTAATGGAGACAGTGTTGGCCGGGATCGACAGAGGATGTCTACAGGGTGGAGTTATGTCCTCAGTGCTGTGGAATCTGGTGATTGACGGACTAATAGTAAAATACGGAATTAGTATAATACGGTAGTCAAAGATCGCATGAACGAGGCCCTAAAACTAGTGATGACAATGGACTTAAAGAGAGGGGCTAAATCCAAGTCGTCACAAATCCACCATAGTCGCCTTCACACGCAAAGGGAAACTATAGGGATTAGGTCCTCTACAGCTGCAGGGACAAGTAATTCAGCCAAAGGCAGAGGTAAAATATCTCGGGGTTATATTAGGCTTAAATCTTAAGCAGTGTAGTTACAACACTCATAAGGTTCAGGCGTATTTATGGGAAGAAATGGGGGTTAAAAGCGGACATGGTGCATTGGGTGTACACCATGGTGATCAAAACCCTGGTGATCAAACTGTATGAAGATGGTGTTGACCTAGCGCTGAAATTGAGTCGGAAATAACTTCTGTTTAAATTTATATGGATTAATATAATAATATTAAAGAAAAAATTAGCCAATTCTATAAGCTAAAATTTAAAATTAAAGTAATAGATTATTTAGGCGGTACCATAATTTCATTTAATCGATCCACCCACTGTAGAATAGTAACCTATAAATTAACCAGTTATGGGAGGTTCTATTCTATTTATTTACGAATGATTTTTAGGACTGCCTTAAATCTTCCTATTCGTTGCTGTTATCAGTACAGCCAACAACTGTGAATCAGCGGTAACTAATCGAGACTATGTCGAGACTGATATAAGTAATTTGTAGGCTCGGCATATTAAAATTACCGGTTTTTATTAATTGCACCCATATAATGAGAATTTTAAAGTTTATTTTGTTAGAATATGGAATTTAGTAAATAAAAATACAGTTTTTTTTAAACATTATACGTTTTGGAGTTATACGAGGTTGGATTGATATAAAACTAGCCTTTGATAGAAAAAACAAGTTTCTTGGAATTAAATCGATTTATTTCTCAATATAGTCCCCTTTTAGCTCGATACACTTAAGTAAGACGATATTCCAATTTTTTTATCTCATCCGAATAGTACTTTTGCTTGAGCTCTTTAAAATAGGCAGAAGTTTCAGCGACGACTGCATCGTGCATCATTTGTTGCGAAACGGCATCCTCCGAGCCATTTTCTTAGGTCTTGGTGAAAGAGCAGTTTTTTGCGTTCCAAACCGGGGTGTTTTTGACGCACTTCGGCATCGAATCGATCCAATAATGCTGGATAGTACTCATCATTGATTGTTTTTCCTTTTTCCAAGTATTCGATGTGGATGATGCCCTTCGCATCGCAGAAAACATTCGCCATCACTTTGCCGGCCGAATGTGCACTCTTTGCCTTCTTCGGCGGCCCTTCGCCGCATTTTCGCCACTGTTTCGAGTGTTCTTTGGTTTCCGGTGTGCAATAGTGCACCCAGGTTTCATGAACGGCGAAAACAAATTCTTCGGATCGCTCCGTATCATCGCCAAAAGCGTCTCCGAAGTGGTCACACGTTTTTGCATTTGATCGATTGTTAGCAAACGCGGCACCAATCGCGCGGATAGCTTTTTCATGTCCAAATTATGGTGAATGATGTTGTGTACGCATTCGTAGGAAATGTTTAGGACCTCTATTAACTCGCGAAGCTTAATTCGACGATCTGCCGTAATCATGTCATGGACTTTTTTGATCATTGCCGGCGTGGTGACTTCATTTGGCCTCACCATAAACATCGTCCAGGTCGGCTTTGATTTGCACATTCGTTTTACCCGTTTTGTGGAGGAACTTAATCACCAAACGATACTCGACTTTTTCCATTTCTCCGAAAACACAACTTGCTTTTAAAACTTAAAATTTTGACAGACGTCATGTCATGAATGGCAAATGTCAACTCCGAAACCAATTCGGTATCAAGTAGCGCCATCTATCAAAGGCTAGTTTAATATCAATCTATCCTCGTTAATGCAAAGTAATAAATAATAAATTATAATGCCTAGAAACAGTTTTGTCTCACTCTTCTCACATCATTTGTTTAGTGTGTAGGTAGTCTTTTGCTACTCTTTTTCTCAGTTTTAGATCGCAAATTTTTTTTTGTTCACCTGCCATTATTTCTCCTTGCCACATGTCCAGTCTAGTTTCACTTTAGAGTGACAATTGGTTTCAGTAGCCCTGAAATTGAAAACCATCACCTATTCGTCGACTTCAAGGCCGCATGCGACAGTGTAAAGAGAACAGTACCATACCAATCAATGCGTGAGTTTGGTATATCAAAAAAACTTATCCGACGTTCATTAAAACACAGCGATAGATGGGCTGGACACATAATACGAACGCCTGACAATATGATTGCTAAAAAGCTAATGACAGGAACACCTATAGGAAGAAGAAGCAGAGGCCGATATAATTTGATATACATTTGCAACAGTAACACCGTGACACCATGACAATTATAGTTCAGACGGCGACACTGTTGCGAAATTAATGCCGCGAAGCGACACACCGTCTGAGAGTCTTAACGCTGTAAGGTCATGACAGCACAAAACTGAATAGCCAAACTGTATCAAGCAAAGAAAATTGTAGGAGAAATTGGTTCTATTTCTTTTCCTACACGAATTAGAATAACTCAGTAGTCTCAAATAAATATTTCAATGCTCCAATCTAATCGACTGACGAAAATACCAAAGAAAACATCCGGCCCTGCCGTGCTTGCACAAATTAAACGGAACTAAAATAAAATTGACCAAAGGGTTTAAAAATAGCCAGTGTGATTTAATCGTGAAAAATGTATGAAAACTAAACAAAAAGTAGCAAGGTCAAAAATTTTCAAAAAGATCAATATTAAAAATAGTTCCAAACAAAATCTATTTATAACTTCAAAAATATTGTGTCATACGTCGGTAAATAAATTAGATTTTTAAGATAGTGTGAATTCTGTCTCGTACAGTGATTGATGACTTTATATCCATATACAGGGTATTACGTGCCTTCTAGTGATGATGCCCCTAGACATGATGTTAATAGAAAAAGCATTCTAGTATTAAATGTGCGAAAATCTTTTCAGGCCACAAAAATGAAAAGATCTCCAATATAACAAAAATTATACTGATATGATGGCATTTCCTGAGGTAAAATGTTCCGGAAGCGAGCTAAACCTTCCATCCGGGTGAGAACTTAAAAGAAATTAAAAGTTTGCGATCGCAAAAACAAGACGACCATCCAGAAACTATCAAACAGAATAGCTTTGCACAAGAGTGATGTTGTCCTCTCAACATCACTCTTGTGCAAAGCTATTCTTTTTGATAGTTTCGGGCTGGTTTGACCGACATAAACTTCCGAATAGGAACCACATGGAAGAGAATACACTACATTAAAGTAATCCAGTTTTTAACTCTTTCTGTTTGGTGAGTGAAATATGTACTTAATCTTTTGTACACTGACTTTGCTATCACTATGTTAAACTGTCTGAAAAGGTTTGTGATCTGTGGTGATAATCCCCTGATGTAAGGCAATCTCCCATAGAAAAGTTCTACTGATTCTCCTTCTAATGCTTGTCTTTGGTGTGTTCTTGCCGTTGGCATATCTTGGAAGAGTAATTTGTGCAGCAGCATCTTATGATAGTGATTTTTTCTAAGAATCTCATAAAGTAACTTGATTTTTTTATTGTAGTTAGAAGGTGGACAAATTCTTTTTATTCTGATATTCAGACCTTTGATGATGTCAATCTTCTGTACATATGGACGATAAGAGTAGAAAAGGCACACATCTACCTGAGAATGTGTTCTTTCTGTACCAGTCCAAATGTCTGGTTACATTAGTGTCGAGTAATGGCACCATATATATGGCGTATAATGGCGTATAATACAAAATTTATACTGGAACCAATCAGCCACAATAAGAACGAATTTTGGAGGTGAACCAACGGAAATGATCCAGATTCTACGAGGCGTTAGACAAGGTTGTATACTTTCACCTATATTATTTAATCTATATTCAGAGGAAATATTTAGTGAAGCCTTGGAAAAATGCGAACATGGAATACTTCTAAATGGAGAACGCCTAAACAACATCCGTTATGCAGACGACACCGTTATTTTTGCAGACAGTTTGAACAGTTTACAGCAACTAATAAACAAAGTAAATGAAGTAAGTGAAAGATTTGGACTTCAAGTAAATATAACAAAAACTAAATTTATGATCATCAGCAAAAATAAAGTTAGAGCTCAACTACTTATCAATAATACACCAGTGGACCGAGTAAAACAGTATAACTATCTTGGAACAACAGTAAATGAACAATGGGATCACTCGCAGGAAATAAAATGTAGAATAGAGAAGGCTAGGAGTGCATTCAATAACATGGCCAAACTCTTTAAAAGCCACAATCTTAATCTGGAGATAAAAGTAAGGCTCCTACGATGTTATATCTTCTCAATATTGTATTACGGAGTTGAATCCTGGACACTAACTGAAGCAATGGAGAAAAAACTTGAAGCCTTCGAGATGTGGCTATACAGGCGAATTCTAAGGATATCATGGACAGACAAGATAACCAACGAGACCGTATTACGAAGAGTGGGCAAAGAAAGAGAGGTGATGTATACCATTAAAAGGAGAAAGTTGGAATATCTCGGACATATAATGAGAAACAGCACTAAATACAGATTACTGAAGGTAATCCTACAGGGTAAAGTATTCGGAAAGCGAGGAATTGGGAGAAGGAGAATATCATGGTTGAAGAACCTGAGGAAATGGTTCTCCACAACAACAACGAATTTATTTAAAGCAGCAGTTAATAAAATAATTATAGCCAGAATGATTGCCAATATTCGGAACGAATAGGCACTGAAAGAAGAAGAAGAAGTGTGGAAGAAGTGTGGAAGAAGTGTTCCTCTGTGTGGACAGTAAATTGGGGGAAATATTATGGTGCCAAATGCCATATTCTCTTTAATGTCTTCTTCAGGGCTTTCGAGATCTCAGTCTCCCGAGCCCCCAGACACTACTACACTGATCACTAACTAATGCATTACTGGTACTGGTAACAGCGGATGGTTTATTTATACCGTCGATGGTACTTAGGTTTCTCTGTATATTTTTTGTGGGTATGCGAATTTAATCATTACCACTTTGTCACTATTTTTTTTATATATATTTGCTGTTCCAAAAGATATATTATAAAACTGCTAGTAAGAATATTCATTTTTTTCAGCCTGGACCGATACCGGGGATGCGACCAACAATAGGCGGTGCCGGTCACGTTGTGCCTCCTAAACAAGGTGGAACCAGTATGGGACTTATTATGCCTATATACACCGTTGGTATCGTCATATTTTTCACTTACACCGTTATGAAGGTGAGTTCTACTACGATATCTTGACATTTTGATTTTATTTAGTATGTTTATGTGGTTGTGTAACATTCACTTTTGATCCACATTAAAAAGTCAAAATATTAGTAAAAATAATTACTTCCTTATCTATGGTATATTACCAAATATGAATGTGAAATTTTTATATAAAGACCAGAGCCTCTAACCGACTTTGCTTTAGATCATAAAAATTGAATAATAATGACATCCACAATTCTTCGAGGCATAGTTTTTACCAAGTTCTAACAAAATTCTAATGTAAACGAATTCTATATTTCTTGCAATTTTTCCTTCAATTCGTTGACGGACCTGGCAGGATGTTTTCTCAAAACTTTTGTCATTTCGCGACACGGAAGTCTCCATCGGGGACAAGTCGGGACTTTTAGAAACCCATTCCAGAAGTGGTATGGCATGGTCTTCAATCCATTTTAAACTCTTTTTTGGGGTATGACAACCTGCGCCGTCCTGTTGGAAGACATAATCTTCCGCTGATGTTAAACGTTCCATAATAGGTAAAAGAGATTTTTCTAAAATATTCAAATATTTGTCCGTGTTCACAACCCCATCGATAAAATGTAACTTTCCCACACCTTTAGACGACATGCTGCCCCAGATCATGACCGATGCAGGAAGTTTTACTTTTTTCTTTAGACAGTCGGGATGGAAAGCTTCATTTTTCCTGCGAATGACGCGACTCCTACTGTCTCTAACACACGCTTCAAATCTGGACTCATCACTCCATTCTATTGTTATATTTTTTTTATAGTTCTAATTTATTGTCTTTATTCTAATTTACTGTCTTTATTCTAATTTATTAAAACTCACAATAATTTATTACCAATTTATTAAATTCTCTACAACTATGTATTACGTCCGTACATTTAAATACGCGTTCCGCGAGTTTCTTTTCTTCACTAACTTCTTCAATAAAAGCTTCGTTATTATATATGAAAATACAGCTATTCGAGAGTTCAGGAGAATCCCTCTGATAATTCTAGGCCGGGTCATCACTCGACATGTTTCTCTGGAAACTTCGAACGGCCGTTTCAGGTATATGTCTGCCAGCTGATCGAAAGATCTCGTCCATTCTACAACATATTTAGTAAATAAACAACATGTTTACAGGTTTATTTTAATATGACTAATTTTTACGTAACACTATTAAATTCTATTGCGACTGAGTCCAATCTTTATGCTCTTTTGACCATATTAGTCTATTTTCTTTTGCTGTAATGTTAAAAGTGGCCTTTCTTTAGCCTAAAATAAAATGAAATTTATTAAAAACAATTTGTAGGTACTAATTTTTTCAACTATAAAACTTACTTTGTCTTCCAACGTGTCGTCCAATAACGTCACTCCATAAAACGCTTAACTCCATATAATTTGCTCGTCGATTTTTCACTATAATTCGCACATTTCTGGGTTTTGTGACGACCTAACCTGTAGTTTTGTATCTTCTGACTATGTTTCTTACACTATACCGTGACAATTGCAACATATTTGCGACATAATTAAAAAATCTAATAATGATTGAACAAATTTTCTCATCGATAATTTTACCTCGATCCATTGTACAATCCACAAACGGCAAACTGCTCTACAATACTACAAAATAGATTTGACATTTATTGTTTTAATGCAATTTTTCCATAACTACCTCTGGATATGGGAAGGAGCTCGTATATCATCGGTGCACTTTACCAAACATCAGTTAAAATTGTTTGTGAAGGCTTTTAAATGAAACTAATATCTCTCATATTCCCATATATCATCTGTCATTTTAAAGTAATTGTTCTGTGTCTGTGATATTTGCCCTTTGTAAACGTTTGTATATAAAGTAATATTAAAAATACCTTTTCTAGATTGTGTTCAAGAAACAACCCGAAGTTCTATATCCACCGTTAAACCCCGATCCTCACTTCAGGCGAGAAGTTTTTGAAGCTGACCGAGGTCATTTGAGTTCGAGATCCAAAGAAGCCTCTTCCGGCAAATTAGGTAAGTGTCCTCAATTACACACCATAGTCCACTGCATAAAATCGTTACCAATTTATTTTTATACTGTTAAATAATTTTAATTCTTAGTAGAATACAGTAAGATCTCGTTTTATGTCGTGGATACGTGAAAGGGCATTTAAAAAAATTGCATAAATAAAGACATTACTTGCCTTGGAAAAGTAGGGATACGTCCCGTTGCCTTCTAAAATTACATAAAACCAAGACAAAAACAAAAAAACAAAAAAGTTTCCAGAAATTAAAAGAAATAGGCCGCATCATTGGCTCCACAACCTATGGTGGGTCTTGGCCTGCTCAGTGATAAGTCTCCATTCTCTTCTATTCTTCGCCTTGGCTTTCCAGTTTCGTACTCCCAACATTCTCAAGTCTTCCTCCACCTGATCCTTAAATCGTGCTCTGGGTCTGCCTCTCCTCATTCCATCTATTCTTTGGTTATAAATATGTTTTGGCAGCTCCATCTCATTCATTCTTTCTATGTGACCTAACCACCGCAGCCGGCTTATTTTGATGGACCTAATAATATCAGTTGATAGAGCTCGTTGTTATATCGAATTCTGAAGATTCCGTTTTCCCTCACAGGTGCTAGTATTCTCCTCAATACTTTTCTTTCGAATGTGTCGAGTTTGTTTTTGGATGTTTCTTTCAGGACCCATGCTTCGCTGCCATAACATGCTATTGGCCGGATTAAAGTTTTATATATTCTCATCTTTGTATTTCGGTGGACACTTTTAGACCGAAATATATGGGAGAGGGCAAAATAAGCTTTGTTTGCCTGCGTTATCCTTTTTCGTATTTCTCCATCCTCTGCTCCATCGGCATATATTTCTACTCCCAGGTATGTAAACTTTCCAACCGTTTCAATGTCATCTTCATGTATAATGTTTTGTGGGATTATATTTCTTCTCGTCTGTACCATTATTTTTGTTTTTTCTGTGTTAATTTCCAGACCTAGCCTTTTCGTTTGTGTTTTTAACTCTGCGTATGCTTCCTGTGCTCCTGTTGATGTTCTACTCATAATATTAATATCATCGGCGTAGGCAGCCAGTTGAACCGTTTTATTGGTCAGTAGGTTTTCTCGCCCAGTTTGCATTTGCCTGACCGCATACTCCAGTGCCAGGTTAAACAATGTTGGTGCCAGCCCATCTCCCTGCTTTAGTCCCTGCGAGATTTTGAAAAAGAATAAGGAAACACCCCTGTCAAACTTCATTAGAATACAAAGATTGCAATGGGCCGGACATGTGATACGAATGGGAGAGGATAGGCTACCAAAACGAGCACTGAACGCCAGAATGCAGGGAAAGAGACCAGTTGGAAAGCCAAGAAAGCGCTGGGAAGACACAGTAAGCAGCGACGCACAAGCACTTTTAGGAGTCCGTGTATGGAGAAGAGCAGCCACAGACAGACAAGGGTGGAGGCAAAAAATAAAGGAGGCCAAGGCTCATTTTGGGCTGTAGTGCCGTAGAAGAAGAAGAAGAATAATATCAGGTTTGTCATCCAGGCGGTAAAGTTCAATTATAGCTTCTACGCCATAATCCGCCCTCCTGTACTCCTTCATAGATATGTCGGGGATTTTACGTTCAAAGCATCTTAAACGTTCTTCATCGTTCTTTGTCATCGTCCATGTTTTCGACGCTAGGTGAGGATGGGCTTGATAAGAGTTCTGTATATCACTTGTTTCGTTCTTTTTATAACTAGGCTTGTTGTTAAAAATTTTCTTAATCCATAATAGGCTCTATTTGCCAGCTATATCCGTCTGTTAATTTCTGCACTTACTGCATTATTTTGATTAATTTGTGAGCCTAGGTATATAAACTATCTTACTCCTTCGAAAATATATGTTCCGATCGTTAGATCTTCGGGTTGTGATGCTTGTATATAATTTGATACTTTCATATACTTCGTCTTTCTAGTGTTAAACTCTAGTCCAATTCTTTTTGTTGTTGCTTCAAGCGCCTTGACGGATTCGACCACGCCCGCCTTTCTTCTTGCAATAATGTCTTTGCCATCGGCGTACGCTAGTAATTGTACACTGCGATTAATAATAGTTCCTCTGGTTGTTATTACGACTCTCATATCGCTTTCTCTAGTGCAATATTGGATAGAAGGCATGATAGGCTGTCTCCTGGTCTAAGTCGTATCTGACACTGGACCGTTGTGGAAATTCCGTTCTGCATTCTAACTTTACACTCGACTCTTGAGAGGGTCGTTTTCATCAATTTTACTAAATGTAAATTGAATGGGCTTGAATGTAAATGGGATGCTGAATTCTATCATGGCCTTGTATAGTGCGTTTCTTTCAACACTATCATAGACACATCTAAAATCAACAAACAGGTGATGAGTATCAATGCGATACTCTGTTTTTTCTAGATCTTGCCTTATAAGGAATATTTGATCGGTCGTTGATCTTTCTTTACGAAACCCACACTGATATTTACATAGTATGTCTTCACAATATCCTGATTATTTATGTTTAATGTTTAGGAGGGTTATTCCTCTGCAGTTGTCATCTTTAGATATTGTTTGATCTCCTTTCTTGTGGACAGGTACAATTATACCTACATTCCAGTCTTCTGGCAACTTTATTTGCTTCCAGATCAGTTCTACCAGTCTACATATACAGTATGTCAGGTTTTTTTTGCCATGGTTTAAAAGTTCTGAAGGAATGCCATCTGCCTCAGGAGCTTTGTTTTCTTTCAACTTCTGTATAGCTTGGATGACTTCTACCTCCGTTGGGATATTATCTTTCTCTCTTTCATCGTCAATGTCCTCGAGTTGGATTTCTGATTTGTAGAGCCCTGTCTCTTATATTAGCCTTTCCTCGAAGTTTTTATGCCCATCTTTCTAGTATCTGGTCCTGATCACCAATGATCTCTCCTGTTCTATTTCTAACGATTGATAATCTAGGATTGAATTATTTCCTGTTATGGTTAATCTTCTCTTATAAGATCTACTCTCTTTATAAAAATAGATCAGTGTTACCTTAGATCAAGTTAATTTATCTTCTCCTTGACTTATCAGTGTTATCTTTGACCAAGCAATGAAGAGAAGAGGGGATTCGGAAAAACACGTTTTTAAATGGAAAGTAAGCGTTCCAAAGGTCTCATCAATATCTAAGCGATCTAGGAAGATAGGAATAATTCAAGACTCGAGCAGTGGAAAAATTATCCCGAAGAAAAGGGTTTTATAATTATTAGATCGAAGACTGAATATATACAGTGACCTTTTTCTTTCACTTCTTCTTATTTCAGATTATTTTAAGTTGTTTTTCTCCCATTTTGTATCTTTTTTTAGTTCTTACTTTTTTTATTATATCATCCATAATCAGGTTGAACAATAGAGGACTCAGTGAATCTCCCTGCCAAATCCCATTGCCAGCTTCAATAGGTACCTTTTTCTACTCTGCCAAAAGCAAACCAAATTCTGAACGGATAAACAGATGGAAATATTATATGTTCTTTTGTATTCATACTTTTCTCGTCGTCCCCACTAAGATATCTTTCACTTAGCCTAGATTATCCAGATAATTGCCAGCTCTCTCTTGAATTTCTCTCTTTTTTGTTGTTTTCCAGTCATTATTCTGTTTGCATTATGTACCGTATGAATTGTTTCTGGCGTATGTCGTCAATAAAATTCTTTCTCTATAAAAATTTCTAAGAAAATCCATATATGTTGCCAAAGGCTAAGCGTAGGGTTTAGTTATGGCTGGTGCCCTTATGGCTGCGGACTTACTGGTTCTCCAGTTGGTCCTCAGATGTTTATTTAATTATTCAGCTTATTCACATCTGTCTCATAGGATATTCCCTATTAGCCATTGAGAGAGCTATATCCGGGATGAGAGCTTTCTCACCCAGTCCGTTCTGAGTCGGTCGAGTTCTACTTAGTGTAGAGCTCTCTATACTCAGGAAGAAAGATCTGGAAGGCACGATTAGACAAGACATGTATGTGAATGGGATTGGTATGATCCAAGTTACAAATGAGCAACTCAGAACTGACCTGAGTCGAAGAGCCGAATCTTCAGACGGATTCAACTGATCCGAACCTCAAAATTAAATTTAACGCGTCACGGGTCAGTAACAACGGAACGACAACGTCGTAGATACTAAGTGAAAATGAGGTGTTAACCAATTCTTATTCCAAAAATTATAACTTTGGTTTACATATTGCGTATGACGTCTGATTGACCCGCGACCCGACAAAGTAAGCGTTATTTTAAATGAGCCGGAACCGGTGACCCGAATCTCAAAGATGACTCGAAATTTACATCTCTATTCAAGATAGAAACCTATCGAAGCTTCCTCTGCATAGGGATAAAGCCAAAATAACAATGATAATGATTGCCTTTGATTATGCCCAAATACAAAGCCACGTAGAGATTGAATAATAAACATTAATATGCAATCACTGTTGTCTTTTGTTTTTTAATTCATATTAATAATTACTACAAATTTATGCAATGGACTATAAAACTAGTAATTTTTGAAATTATTTAGAATAGTTTAAAAAAATACTAATGATCCTTATTTAAAATAGTTAAATCAATATAAATAATTTAATTGTCGACATCGATAGAAAGTTTAATGGATATTTTCGTTACAAAATGGTTCTATGTAAGGATCTTTATCGGAGATTGTAGATTAGGGTTCTAAGTGGACTTGTATCCACCATGTTAAATATTTTCCTGTACATTCTACTATACATGTAATTAATTTTAAAAATTATTTCTTGTGCTGCTTGTTCATAGGATGGAAAGAGCGTGATGCAAGTAAGTGATCATAACTAAAATTGTCACGGCTATTAATCTCCAAGAATATTTCCTTCGGCCAACTTATATCACTTTTGTGGCAACTTAAACCTACATTTATCATTTCAGTCTCATTTCATTGTTTTTGATAGTATCATTACCATTAAATGTGGCAACACTGAATTAAATTTTGGAAGATTGCAAAATAGTAACCCTTAACTGATACGTCGCGCGTCGC